ACGTGGGATTCGATCCCGGGTCTCCAGGATCGCGCCCTGGGCCAAAGGCAGGCGTCAAACCGCTGGGCCACCCAGGGATCCCTAATATCACAATTCTTAAACATATTTCATATATTACTCTTATTTTTTATTTTTTAATTTTTTTCTATTACTCTTTTAAGGATACTTCTGCTCATTGTCTTTCTGGCTCTTATTAGACAATTGTTGGACCATCTCACTGATTTTTTTCTTTTTTTAGTGTTTCATAAGCTCTTTCTTATCACTTTTTTTTTCCCTCTTTGTTTCTCTGGCAATGTTATGGACAATACTGTTTTCTTGATAATTATTTCTTAGTTATATTTAATATATCTGTTTATGAGTTTTAATGATATTTTTATTTGTAAAATTATTATTGACACTCATTGAAAATGGTTTTGTTCTTTTGATAACATCTTGTTTATTTCATATATTTTCTCTCCATCTTTCATTTTTAATTATTTTATAACTTACCTTTAGTAATCCCATTATCAGAATGTTTTGGTGTTTTTAATCTTGTTCTTTGGTCTTTCTGTTGACTCTCACTCAAGATTTATTCATTTGTTTGATAATTATGATTTGAATTACTGCTTAGCAAGGTTTTATATTTATAATCCCTAAATATTTTGTTGGGGGTGTTCCTTTCCAGAGAATTTTGGACACTGAATGTGAAGGTACCAAACCAGAAATAATTTTTTGTTAAATTCTTTCTGTGGAATTTCTCTGTTCTTATCAATAGTTTAAATTCAAACCCCATACCTATGTAAGAGGTTTTCATGTTAGGCTCTTCCATCTTGTCCTTGATATGCCAAGTCTCTTGGCAGAGATTCATAAGTGTCCCAGAGACCCAAAAGATCAGTGACTCCATATCAGTCATTTCCACTTTTTTCCCTCATTTTGGCCACTGAAGATTTCCTTAACATATTTCTCTAAGTTATGTTTATCTAATGTTTATACAAATAATGTTTGACCTAATGTTTATCTTTCTTTTTTTACACATACACACACTCACAAGACTATTCTGGACTTTGGTTCAGAGGCCATTTATGGAACATATGTCTTGAGGCTTAGTCATACCAATTCCATTTCATTCTTGATTTTCTCTCCCTATTACTACCACTCATCTCCTGGCACTTTAGCTCAAGTCCTAGACTTGCTCATGACTTATGTGAGAAATGAAAGCTGGAGCTTTTGAATAAAGAAAAGGAAATGCCAAAAGAAAGAAATCTGATAAAATTAGAAAAGAGGAGGGGATCCCTGGGTGGCTCAGCGGTTTGGTGCCTGCCTTCGGCCCAGGGTGTGGTCCTGGAGTCCCCGGATCGAGTCTCATGTTGGGCTCCCTGCGTGGAGCCTGCTTCTCCCTCTGCCTGTGTCTCTGCCTCTCTCTCCCCATCTCTCATGAATAAATTTAAAAAATTAAAAAAATTAGAAAAGAGGAGAATCCCTCTGACCACTTATACATATATGTGTATATATGTGTATATATATATGTGTGTGTGTACTTGTCAGAGAAATGATACACATGATATGTATGTATTATATGCATGTATATATTTCAGTGATACTGTGGAAACTCAGGAATTTCATTGCTAAAATAATTTTCTGTGCCAAGTGAATACCTATTTGCATTTGTTTTCATAATTATTTCTATAATTGGTTCTACAAGTAAATGCAGAAATAGCTGGCTTACTCCTACCACCTGCTTAGTACTGATATACAGAGAAGGCAATAATACATATTACAATTATTCTTCTTATTTTCTAACAAATCGTATAACCACAATATTGGAATGATATCCCACTTAGTATTCTGTTCCTGCATTCAAACACCCGGGTTCTTTCATAGAAAATAGATACTCTCTATGAGAATTAAATGGTCAAATATAGAGAGGTAGATGGTTAATTGTAAGTACTATTTGAATAAATTTGCATATGAAAGGACCCCAAAAAACTTATTTTAAGAAAAACATTTTTGTAGGTGCTTGTGCTATCCATAAATCATTTTATCTGAGATGACTCCTTTTCTGTACTCATGCCAGCATCTCTGGAATCAAAACAAAAGTTCCGAAGTTTTCAGTAAGATCTTCCTTCTTATTTCTCAATCAATTGGTTATCCAGTTAGTAAGTTATCTGTTTTATATGGAAGGATTTCCATATTTTGTGGATGTAATTCTTAGGACCTGATCAAAATGCAGAAGAAGGGGAATGGAAAAGATATTTAGCTAGGAAAAAAAAAAGAAGAAGAAAAAAAGAAAAATAGAAAATTTGGATCAGTATAGATGCTGAATTAGATAAATAAATATATTAGAAATTCTAGGTCATTAAAATATACTCTTACTAGAGCTAGAGGTTTTGATCCGTCTTGTTCTTTGAAAATTCCAGTCACGTGGAAGAACATCTCCACTTAAATGTCCTTAGAACAGTTATTGATTAAAACATACAGGTTTACATTTCTTCCTAAAGAGATTTTCTTTATTTAATTTGGCTGCCTTTTGAGTGAAACAGGAGACTACCATGGGATCATTGCTCTCAGAAAGCCATGAGTCCCTGAAGTCCCTAGTCCAACTTTGATTGCATTACCTCTGACACAGAAATGCAAAGCAACAATAAATTCAAGGGTGCTTGCCACTGACGTTTTTTTAGTTCATTATCTAGTAGTGTCATCTTCAACAAATCAGTATGTAGAGTCCGCACTCAATTTTTTTAAAGAAATTCAAAGTAAATATAGATGATTTTCAGGTATTACTAATTTTACCTAAAACTCAATGATTCATTTGTATTAATACTTAAGTACTTAGACATCAAAATAAAATATGGTTATAAAGGTGCTATGTAATAATAGCTCATTTCTCTTCTTAAAACATTTTGGGAATTTTAACACTTGTTAAGGAAAATGTTGTCCACCAGTGACCAGGTTGTAGACTAATGCTATCAACATATATTAAATTAGTAATATTACTTTACTTTAAGAACTTCCCAGAATTATTAACCCCCTCCACATACACATGAGTTTTATTTTTCTTTATTGTGTTCTAGACCCATGTTCTTTTTATGAGAATTATAGAAGATTGGGATGAAGAATAAATAATCAAAGAAGCTGCAGGTTGAAATATTATATTTTAGGTTCAGATACAAAGAATCTAATATAAAGTTCTCCCTCTCATCAAATTAAGGAACATTGCTATAATTTTAAATATTCATGTAAATCTTTTAATCTATTATTTAAAATTTTGCTATTCAAGAATACTTTTTCTTGATATTTAATATAATACATGAAAATAGTAAGACTTTTTTAAAAAATGGTTGAAGAGATTGCCAATTTATAGTCATCTAGGGAAAAAATTGATATGAATAATTGAACAAAATGGTTTACTTTTTTGAAGTTTAAAGTAATTGTGGGCCCAGAAGAATGAAGGATAAGACATTGTAGGTGCGTAATGCACTTTTGTGCTTTACATAAGCGGAGTTTGCTCTGGTATAGTTAACTTGGCCAGAAGTACAAAATTACAAACAAAGCAATGCCATCATTTCATTCTCCATAAAATGAGAGATTCTGTTTTCTAAGATGATGCAACTAATTTCAGGCTTGTTGCTGGGGTGATCATGTTAATGGCTCAAGGCAAATCTGTCACTATTCTTCAAAACACTAATTTCAAACATATGCTGCACTAATAGAGGGCCAGAAAGTATTATCACCTTTTCATACAAAATTTAAGCCTGTGAAAAAAATGATTTTAATTTTTTAAATATAAAAATAAAATAAAATGTATTCCCATATGATACGAAAAATGTCTTAAAGAACTTGCCTAAAAAGCCATTTATCAATAGAGAAAATTTTCTTTAATTTTGATTCTTTATTTTTTTCATGAAACTAAAGGTTTCATTCATAATGGATATTACCATTCCTTTAAAATTTAAGTTTTTATTACCAAAAACTGGTGCAATACAGCAATATTTTTCTCTTCAATGAACACATATTAACATAAGAAAAATATATGCAACATATTATCTCTGTATTAAATACATTGTTCCCTTTAGCTTACTCATCATCTTCTGAACATCTCCCATGCCAAAGGCATAGCAGGAAGTCTTCTGGGTAGGTAAAAATGAGCAAGATCAAAGCATAAATGCCCATCTATAATACAAGAGAGAATCCATTGAGTACTATAGTAGAGGTACAAAATATGTTGGGAACATGTAGAAAAAGAAGAGTAACTTTTTCACTGGGTGTCAAGATAAACTTCACTGAAAAGTTAGTTGAGGTAGTCCTAAAGAATGGGTAGAAAAAATATGGAGGTGGAGAGAAAGGGGTGAACCAAAGTATTGTTTTAAAAGAAAAAAAAAGAACGTATTTATGATGTGACCTGAGTATAGGGCACAGGAAAAAATAGTGGGAGATAAACTTGAAAGGTAGAATGAGGACTCACTAGAGAATTTTAAGAGAGGGTCTTAGAAAGGTAGAACACCTTAGAAAGGTAGAGCAATTGACTAAAACTCCTGGACATTTTGCTAAATACTTCAGCTTTTTTGTACAAACAATAGAGTGATTTTTTTTTTTTTGTATCAGCATGGTGATTTATGTGTAATCATCAGGGCTATGTATTAGGATAAGATATCATGATCATGTCCATCCCTGGACAAAGACCATGTTATACAGGATTTTCTGTATTTTGAAACTTGGACATCAAAATAAAATATGGTTACAATATATACGTTTGCCAGTATACAAAAGTTTTTCAAAAACAACCAGCTATTTAATTTGGATCTAGGATGGTGGAATGAAACACTTTCATATGAAATATCTAAATGATTGAGATTAAATTATGTATCTTTATTGCTTATTTAATTTTACTTCTGTAGATAAATTCACAATATATGTGTGAAGACAATTTGTAAGTCTTTGGTAGTTTTTATTATTGCAATATTAATTTAATTAATTAATTAATTAATTTAATTAAAATATTAATTTTTTTTTTGCTGTTTCAGATGATGGTGCCTGTCAATTAACTGAACAACTGTGGTAAGTTGGTTTTTCTCTTCTCAATTCTGCATAGTGTTTTACTTTCTGATATTCAAAAGGATTTATGTTGTGTATGAAGCTTGTAAAAACATGAACACTTAAATGAAATGAAAGTCAAGCATGCCCTGAAGTAGGCTATATTTTTTTCCAGGGATATAACCCTTCCCTTTTTTCTTCTGAAACAAGCCAAGACCGGAAATCAGAAGTGTCCTGTATTTGTATACCCAGAGTGAAGGAGGGGCACTTTTATCCAAATGTTTTCCATTAAATGTGCACCATCTATTTGCCCAGGAATGACTCTGAGAAAGCACTCAAATGTTCACACCACCAAAGGCAGAGGAATGTCTTTTAAAGAAATAATTTTTAAAAAAAGTAATCTAAAGTTATATCGAAATTTGGTAAGAAGAAGCAGATGTTTCTTTCTTTTCTCCTCATATTTCATAAAGGTGTTAATGATCATGGTCATGATAGACACACAGGCTGACTTTCATGTTTCCAGTTTCATAGCTGATTAAATCTGATTTTACTTTAGTTGAATCATCATACTGGACAGTAGAAATTGAATGACAATTTTTTATGTTTGTTATAAATGTGCTTGTGGCTGCTTTTGTGGACTTATATTGGGCAATATTGTATGTGGAGGAATGAAAAATGGTATTAAGTGTTTTGGAAAATAATAATAATGATAATGACATATATGCTACAATAGTTTTCCCTCAAAGGGAAGGAAGGAAAAAAAAATTGAAAGAGATTTTCTCGGCAACTCATTAGGCATTTTAGGATGTTTTGTTTCTTCTTTTTCAATTAAAAGTAAGAATTTAGTTTTCACCTGACTATGCCAATGGAGATTTTTCTTTCACAGATGCCTCACATATTCAAACTCTCAATCATTTAAAAAACTAGCATCTTACTGTGAGTCACTGTGTAAGTAGTTATGAAGAATATTGTATATGGGTTCTATTTATAATGAAATACCCAACATTATTTCCATAAATAATTTTTCTCTATTATTTTTATGAGAAGTGAAATCAGAAAATGATTTATATGTCTTAACTGACATAATTGTCTTGGATTATCATGATTAATTATTCATTGAAATCTATGACTAGTGGAAGTAGTTTGTATCAATCTTATTCATCTCTGGAAAAGTTGGTACCCTTTTACATCTATCTTGGGAAAGCAAACAACATATTTCTGTGCTTTTACTATACTGGAGAATTGATATTTTCATGGACTATGTTCTCATTGCCAGATTTATGAAGAGAAGACATTGCATTATTATCAATTTTATTCCTTGAGAGCTGAACAGTTTAGAGTAGATAAAGAAAGTGTCATTAATTTTATCTCTTATTCAACTGCAATAAGGAATCTGAAAAAGTGCATTTGTTAAGCATCCTGCTTCTATGCATGCTAGACTGCTTAGCAAAATAAGAGATGACCAGAGATGGAAGTGGAAAGAGAATAGCATAAAGTTTGGAGTGTGTGAAAAGTTTATCAAGAGTTTGGGTAAGGAAGAGGAATGGACAACTTACATGGGATGTGATTTTGGAAAGGACAAATGTTGAGAAAAAAAATGTGTCTTATTGGACATTATATTAGTGCTGTCAAACTTTAATATGCTCAGGAAGCTATCTTGTTAAAATGCAGATTCTCATTTAGTAGGTCAAGAGTCTGCATTTCTGTCAGCTCCCAAGTGATGTCAAAGCTGCAAGTTCAAGGGTCACACTATGAATAGCAAGGTATTATATAAATATCTCATTCCTTTGCCTCCTATTCAAGGAATTTCAGATAATACTTCCTAAGCATTTGACTTGAATTTGATTTTTAGTGCTCTTCACTGTGTATGTAAATATCAATCTTAAGATTAGGGGGAAAATGCCATGTTTTAGTTCAGCCACATACATAAAATAAAACAAAAACAAAACAACAATAACAACAAAAAAACTGGGTCTTGCTAACTACCAAGGTCTACTTTTCCCTCTCATTAATTGATTATTTCAGGGTAAATCAGAGAAAGTCAATCTTTTCAAATAATTTTCAAGTGTATGAGATGTAAGATTGTACAGAAAATACATGTATTTTAAATACTACAATCTATTCAAAGGCAAGCATATCATCACCTTACAATAGTTAAAATATAAAAAGCAATAGTAGTCATGAGGATTAGAGTCCTAACCGTAATATAAGTACACATGATCATTATTGGGGATGCCTGGGTGGCTCAGTGGTTGAGCATCTGCCTTCGACTCAGGACTTGATCCCAGGGTCCTGGGATTGAGGCCCCCATCGGACTCTCCACAGGGAGCCTGCTCCTCCCTCTGCCTATGTCTCTACCTCTCTCTGTGTCTCTCACGAATAAATAAATAAAATCTTAAAAAAAAACATTATCATTGCTATGCGTGAAAGTACTTAACTTTGTCTTCAAAATGTAGTAGGATGTCATTGGTTTGTATCCTGTTCCCATTGACATTATGAATGTTATCTACTTTAATCGTCAAGCTCATTCAGTACCTAGGATTATCAAGAAGGCAGGATAGACATCGGACTAGGCTGGATGCATCAATAACAGTAAATATCACAGCTAAGAGGTCCTAGTACCATCATGTATGGAAATCTGAAGGGATTTTTGGACACTGGATTCCACTAGGATGCTGGAGAAGGCTATGGAGTAGAAGTTCTAAAATCAATCTGGTTTTCTGCTCAAACTCTTCCTCTAAATGAATGTTTCTTCACCCAAACTGCATGTCAAAATCACCTGGGATGTTAAGAAAAAAAGTTAATACCTGGGCTCCACTGCAAACAATTAACTCAGTATCTCTGGGTGGAGCTTAGCGTGATGCTCTAGCTTCTGGTGAGCCTATTGGCAGCTGGAGTTGAGAGTCAGTGCCATGAATCAGGGCCTGAAATTTATTTTTGTCACAAGTTCCCTAATGATAGTGATGTTACTGCTCCATGGGCCATACTTTAGGTAATAAGGGCCTACCAGCCCCCATAAGTGTTTCCACATGTTCCAGGAGGGTATTACTTGGGAGTAGTTTTCTTTTTTCCAAGGATGAGGGAAGTGGAGAGAAGAAGTAGAAAAGAGAAAAGGGGTATCCAAATGGCATGCAATGTGGGCCTGGGTAGGATATTCAACTCCCCATTTGATTGAATTTGAAGGGAGATGGAAAAATTCCTGTATGCCAAAATATCTCATCTCAAGAAATAATATGATTCCTGCATTTGTACTTTTATAATTCATTTGATTTTAGTGCTTTTCAAACCTGACTGTGCAAGCATTATTATGTGATACAACTGTTACAAATACAAAGGATCAAGAAAAGGGGTTAGAGTTGGCAGGAATCTAAATTTTAATAATCATCCCATATGATTCTAATCAAGAATGGAGCTTAGAAATTAAAATTGTTTAAATAAATGTCCATACTGCCCAAAGCAACTTATAGAGTCAATAAAGTTCTTATTAAAATACTAACAGCATTTTTCACAGAACTCAACAAATAATTCTAAAATTTTGTGGAGCCACAAAAGACTCAAAATGGTTAATGCAATCTTGAGAAAAAAAAAAGTTGGTGATACCACAATTTTGAATTTCAAAATATACTACAAAGCTGGAGTAACCAAAACAGTCTAAAGGGTACTTGCATAAAAATAGACACATAGATCAAGAACAGAATAGAGAGCCCAGAAATAAACTCACACTCATATGGTCAATTAATTTATGACAAAGGAGGCAAGAATACACAAAGGGAAAAAGACAATCTCTTTGAGAAATAATGCTGGGAAAACTAGATAGCTACATCCAAAAATGAAACTGGACCATTTTCTTATACCATACACAAAATTAAACTCAAAACGATTTAAAGACTAAATATGAGATAAGAAACTAACATCTTAGATGAGAACATAAATATTAACTTCTCTGACATCAGCCTTAGAAACATTTTTCTAGATGTGTCTCCTAAGGCAAGGAAAACAAAAACAAAACAAACTGTTGGGACTACATCAAAATGAAAGTTTTTGCTCAGTGAAGGAAACCATCAACAAAGCAAAAGGCAACTTACTAAATGGGAGAAGATATTTGCAAATGCTTTATTCAATAAAGGATTAATATCTAAGATATAAAATGAACTGATACAACTCAATACCAAAAAGTAAATACATAAAGAAAAACAATCTGATTAAAATATGGGCAGAACACTTAAATAGCCATTTTTTTTTCAGAGAATACACAGATGGCTAACAGACACATGAAAAATCACTAATCATCAGGGAAATGTAAATCAAAATTACACCTCACAACCTGTTACATGGCTAAAATAAAAAGACAAAAAATAACAAATGTTGATAAGGATGTGGAGAAAAAGGAACCATTATGCATTGTTGGTGGGAATGTAAATTGATGCAGCCATTGTGGAAAAGAGTATGGAGGTTACTCAAAACATTAAAAACAGAAATACCTATAATCCAATAATTCCACTACTGTGCAATAACCCAAAGGAAACAAGAACACTATTTTGAAAAGATATATGAGCCCTATATTTATTGCAGTAGTATTTACAATTATTAGGATATGGAAACAACCTAAGTGTCCATTGATAGGGATAAGGAAGATGTATTTTATGTGTATGCATACATACAAATACACAAAGGAATATTGCAGAGCCATGAAAAAGGATGATATTTTGCAATTTGGGACAACATAGATAGACCTAGAGAGTATTACTCTAATAAATCTGACTGAGAAAGACAAATACTTTATGATTTTACTCTTATGTGGAATATAAAAGACAAAACAAATAAACAAACAAAAGCAGAACCAGACCTATGAATACAGAGAACAAATTGATGACTGCCAGAGGAAAGGGAGGTAGGGGGTGGGCAAAATGGGTAAAGGGGAGTGGGAGATACTGGTGTGCAGTTATGAAATGAATAAGTCATGGAAATAAAAGGCACAGCATAGGGAATTTAGTCAATCATATGTAATAGCATTGTATGATGAC